GTGGTAGTGCTGGAATACCCTTGTGAAGGCGAGAGGACTTAGGAGTCATATGGGGAAAATCTCATCAAGGTTTCCATAGGTTTTTTTCTGGGATGTTACATAGGATGAAGTAGGCAGCGTGAAACCTATGGAAGAACTCGAACTACTGTTTTCAACAGCAACAAAAGGTTTTCATCTGTATCTTGTCTCCACATAGGAAAGAGTAGTCCACATTAACCTTGTGTGAAGCCTCTGTGTTTCTAAAGCCACAGTGTAAGAATAACTAAAATATATCTGTTAAAAGAGATTTGAGTTGATATTGTTCCCATAAAGTTCAGTTAACAGTTCAACGCTACCATAACTTTGTTGCTAAGCTCTTAAGATGTTAGGATACCAAAAGTGACACTGTGTTTATTTGTGCTGTTTTGCCTTAAATTTACAAAAGTATATGCAAACAGCATTCTGAACTATAGAAAATGATTAGAGGATTTTCCTTTGGTAGGAAATGAGATTTTAGTGTCTGCTGTCATTACTGCATTAGCCATTTTTGGATTTTTCAGGCTTTGAGTCCTATAGCTTAAACCTGAGTAGATGCTTTTCAGGCTTTTGGGAACCACAGTAAATTTCATCAGCCAGTTTCCAGTAATACTTTGCATCTTACTTTCATGTACTGTTGTTTCCAGTCACGTACCTGCCAGTCTGGCACCTGTTTGCTGCTGTTTCTGTCTGTCATACCTAACTGTGGTTAGGTATATAATTCAGACTCATGTGGCACAGGAAGGAAACTTGCAATAAGCCTTCTGTCATTGATCTTGGTTGTATAAAGTTGCTATCTGTGCCAAAGTATCATAGTGAATTTCTGAAAATTCTTGTGCCTCTCAACTGTGGTTAAAATTTTTCTGATCCATGCCTTTTCCAGAAATAATTTTATGGTATTTAATGACTAGATGCAGTTATTGAAAGCATTGTTATTCTATTTCAAAAGTAAGCTTTTAAAATGTAATTGTATTTAAAGACTGAAAATGAGAATTCAAACTGAGATTTGGTTGCAAAGCATCTTCTTTTCTTTTTCCCATTTTAACACTTTTCTAATGACAAAATGTTTCAAAATGAGTGCCTCAAGCACACTGCTAACAGTATATGAATTAAATAAATATCTTGATGCAGTACTAAATCTAATATTGTTGGTTTATTGTTTGGGGAATATTGTATTATATAAACTAATGTTCTTTTTCGCTTCTCTTGTGTGAATAATTACAGTGCATCTAGGTTTGAAGGAAATATACTCGTGTATGGTTTTAAGAAAGACTTAACTTTGTGGAAAGATAGAGTGCATTTCTGTATGCCATGAATCCTTTACATGACAGTAATACAATGTTTAATGTCCCCATGAAAGAGTCTTTTGTACGATTTCAGGTAATAGAGCATAATTTGTAAATCCAACTTATGAAACAGAGATTTTAGTTGTAAGGGGTGGGAAAAGAGGAAAAGAACTTGTTCATGGTAACCCACATAATATTTTGAAATAAAATCCGTTTTGTGGTATGTTTATTTTCTATTCTTTTGAAAAACAATGTTATAGTAGCATTCTCTCTATGTTCAATTTGGCAAAACTTCTGACATCCATAAATTTGACCCGTTCAATGCTTTCTGGCCCCTCTGAGTGAAAGAGGAGAACATTACCACTTTTAGGTTGAAGGACCAGGGCTATTAGTTGATCTGGATCTTAGTCTTCACAAGTCTTTAATGATGCAATGGTTTTTTTGTCTTCCTTTTGCTTTATTTTGATTTATGTAGGATCATACAAAATCAGAGTTAGATGCATGGAAGATTGTTCGGGTTAGTGAAGATTTTCGAGTGATAGCATTGGGCCTGCCAGTACCTAAATACTCTGGTAACCCTTTGGATCCACCCCTTCGCTCTCGATTTCAAGCTAGAGATGTTTATCATCTGCCCTTTAAGGTAAATGTTGTAGCAAAAGACTGAATTATTTTCACTGAATAGAGCTAGTATTTTGACGTTATGTTCTACTTACCTTACCTCTGAAAAGAATTTTTGAGTAATAAATTTATCTGAAAGTGCATTTTTCATATTTCATAATAAATTCCTGAAATGCAGGCTTAGAGTTGCCA